ATTTCTCTGACCTTTTGTCTCCAGCTTCATGGATAATTGACTATGTATATATTCCACAGTGCACAGTTTAAAGCTAATGCCTATTTTCTAAATGATCAGATGAAACATCTAGAGAACTTCAAGCTCAGTTCAGTGACAAACCTCTAAGGACGTCTGTTCACCACTAACATTTTTAGGAATTTTAACTGTAGGCATTATTAAATTAATTCCATTCAATATCAGCTGCACTGATAAAGCATCCAATCCTGAGTGTGCCTTGCCAGGTTTACCACCCGGTACTGCACGAGCAGTCATGTTACCACTTACTTCAACACCATCTCCCACTTACTCCATCCATCATTCAACCACTTAGCCACTATGGGATTTCCAAAGGTGCATGAAATGATTCGTTCGATACTCTTCACTTTTCTATTGTGCAGAAAAAAAACAGATCTCAAGGCATCTGAAACTTTAGAATAAGAAATAATCTTAAGCAACTTAAACACACGTCAAAGAAGGCATAAACGTAACCATGGAAACTAAAGTATCACTTCCAAAGCTAAGTCATCTCTTAGCCATCTAAGATATTGCTTCCAAAAAATATATAAAAAAGGATAAAAATAGCAGGGGAGAGTAGGCATGGTGAAGGTGTGAATATCACTGACGGATTGTTCCAGAGAAACATTTAACATGGTATACAGCTCATATGCAGTCTGGTGAACGTGGTAATACCCAGAGGTCAGAAGTTAGACTAAATACTTCCTGGCTAGGTCTTCCTTTCAAAATGGCTTGGCAAAACAAAAGTAACACTGACAGAGTGACGATCATCACTTTGCTTATCGAAAAATCCATCCAACAAAGGCTGGTCATTTTGAATACTTGTAAAATGCTTACTGGGCTCATCTGTAATGATAAAACTGCATTCATACTATAATATATCCTCCCTTAAAATTTTTTTGACCTGTAAAAATATTCTTATTAAGCAGCTGTTTTTCTATGTAAACATCATTTATTATAGAATATTCTGCATTTTTTGTTGATGAGTTTTCTTGTGTGAACCGATTCCAAATTTTTCACCCTGCCAAGCGAGAGAAGACAAAGTGAAATCTTGCAGTATGTGGCTTGCATACTACAGTTCCATTTGAAAACATGTCTGAAGGTGAACAAAATGAACTTTTTGGGTGGAGCTGCCCATCAGTTTTCTGCTTTTGAGAGAGTATGACAAGCAAGCCCAAAGGCTCGCCACTGAAAGTCATACCTCAGTTAAAAATCAGTATTGTTCTGGGTCTTAATTAAACCTGATGGCAATTCAGGGTCATTTTAATTAATCTTCACACAACACTTACACAAAAGATCCCCATTTGGCACTTCCTGAAGCAAAGCTATTGAAATAAAAATTCAGAATGGGTTGCAGAGAAAAAAAAAACGAAAATTTGACTGCTCCAGTGATGGCAATTAATTTGACATTCAGAAAGGCATTTTTCTGACATGAAGGAGTCGTTTAGACTACAGCTCATGTGCATTATCAGCATCAAGGTCATGTCATTGTCATACTCTCTGCTTTAATAGAGTCTACTAAGTGTCCACTTTTGTTTTCCCTGAGAAAGCTATAAAGCAAATATCTACATTGATTTATAAGTTTAATTATAACGGAGTAGGGATGGATGGCACTAAAAATTTTAAAGCAAAACCAATTCAAGTATTTTATGAACTAGCATTATCGACCCAGATAGTAACAGTAAATATTTTAATGACAATAATCTTTTTAAATATGGTAATGATAGTAATACGTTTATTTAATCATTATCAATCTGTACAGGATATCATGTATTTTTAAAAGCATATATTATTATATAAGCAAGAAAGTGCTATAAAAAAAGCATGCAAAATAAAACTAAAATTGTCAAACAAACAAAAAATGAACTTTCACACTTTCAGAGATTTAATCTGCTTAATATCTTAAATGTTAAAAAATATCATGGGCATCTGTGATTCCTACATCTCGGAGGGTCTGTTATTGAGGAATATAAATGTGTCATGTGCAAAAGTGCAGAAACTTTTTGAGAGAACGCTGCAATGACTTTTGAGGAGAACAAACATTTGTAAACGATACTTTTAAATGGTAACTGATACCAACTCAGTAACATTTTAATATCAAAGCATAGATAGTATCGATCTGTTTATCCCTACATCATAGTGTATGAAACTGAATTCTCTTTCGATTATGATGATGTAGCTAATATTTAGACAAAATGAACATCCCGACATTGTATTTATTATAGTTTGAAAGCATGAAATACAGGCATTAACTTTTTAGCCTGATGTGACCATGCTCAAGGTCATTGGACATATTCTTTAGAATCACGAATACCATCATCATCTCATTTGTATCTGCTTATACTAAGAAAAACAGCCAGTTCACCTGAACAGAAAGTCTACAGACTGTTCCAGGAGATTCTGGATGACCAGGTTCATATGCATGTTTTGCAGAGGCATGTACAGATTCAGCAGGAAGCAGCCTGTTGTTTTTTGCCATCTTTTCAACTGGCCAAAAAAAACAATTTGTTTTGAATTATTTTGCTGATAAAGAGGTATACAAGTATGCTAACTACAGCTGCTCAGAATATGGTAACATCTTTGGTTGACCTTTCTGCGAAATTAGCTATTACTGATCTCTTTGGAAACATGCTACGCTCACATGGTATGTTCTAAAAGTACATGGTCATGCAGTGCACAATCAAGTAATCATTAACACACTGCCAATAGATTCTGCTAAGGAAGCTAAATACCACTGGGCAGAGTCCAGACAGTTTGCCTATGACAGACACAATATCTGCAATAACACAAAAAAATCTAAATGAATCATGTTCAATGTGCATTCTCACTGTAAGCAGTGCAGTAATATTAAATAATTCCAATTATGATACTAAATGTTTTTATTATTTATTAAAAAGTTCACTCCATATTTCTGGATTGTCTACACATTTTTCCTCACTTGCACAACTAGTTTAAGAATGATGGCTGCTAGACACATTTCATAAAAAATGCATGCATGCATCGTCCAACTACTCAGCAAGTGAAGTCAAAGAGAGCCTGGAGTTACCAAGAACATCCTAGACTGGGATGGGTCAGTTAATAACATGGAAATGCCACACACACACACACACACAGGCTATTAATTCTTTGTGGGGACTCTACATTCATTTCTATGGGAAAAACTCTAATCCCAACATGACGACCTTAACCCCTACCCAGCCCTAACCTTAATTTTACTTTTTTGATTGCATTCACAGATCTTTGTGGGGACCTGAAAAATGGTCCCCCCAACATCAAAATAACAGGTTTTTATTACATTATGGAGAACCTTTGGTCCCCCACAATTTAATATAAATATAATCAACACACACACTGCTAGGACAAGATTCAGGGTAAAAAAAAAAAGTTGCTTGGTGTAATTATCTTAAACAAGCCCTTTTGCTTCTAACCCTTATTCTGTCATATGTGCTTAATGAACCACAATCTGTGCTTGTGTTTCTCTCCCTCCTATCATTTGTCAACTATTAAGCAGTTTCTGACGCAGTAGTTAATCCTAAAGGGAAAAGTCTTTCCCATAAGTAAAATATTGCTTGTGTTAAATGCAATTTTTATCTATTGTTTTATTTGCATGAGGTAATTCAGAGAGTGTGATCCCTGCAAAACTTTGAAGTATGGATTCTAACTGGAACCAAGAACATCACTGCCAACCACGCTACTGTGAACGTGGACCTGCAAGAGAGCTTTGATGAATTAAGTATGACAAAAACTAAACACAAATGTCCTTTTAAATGTCAGGTTCCACAATACAGTAGAACAGTAACATTCTGTTCTACATGCAGTCCCAGTCAGACCATATATATAAAAGTTTTAATTGTAAAATTTAAACCAACAAAAGCCAATAATGACCTTTTAAATGTCTGTTCTTTCAATCAATACCCATACAAACATGTAAGCATTAGAGAATTAGAGAATAATTAATTTTAACTGAGGATACAGCATGTCTTTCTGTACATTTTGCTTGGCTGAGTTGTATAAACGTACAGGATGTCAGCAACATAACTTTCAGCCTCCGAAATAAAGACCACATTCCAACACTGAACACAATCCAGGACCTTTGCATTCCGATGCATTCACTCACTGCAAAACATAAACCTAAAATAATAATAATAATAATTATTATAATCACACAGTATACACTGTATTTGGTTCTAAAAAAGATTGATAGCCTTAAAAATGAAAACACTCAATGCCAGATTTTGATCTTGTTCATCTTATTATTGTTGTTATTTGTTGTTTATTATTAATAATAAAATTATAAACAAGACGAGGAAGAAAAATATTTACCATATACTATAAATTTCTGTCGGGTAAATAACCCTATAGTATTTCACTGCTGCTGATGTGAAATAATAAGCTTGGTGTAAACTGAGCAATTCAAACGAAAGAAAAAATCAGACCGTAAAAGCGGCATGGACACAACTGACAGTAAGTAATAAGCTAGAAAAGCTGTCACTGCGGTTCACGTAAACAAGGCAATGGAAACGCATGTCATCGTAAAATGAAGAATTCTGCTTGTAGAGTTTAATCAATATACATTAATATTGGTTGGTGTTGTTATATATTGCTTTAATACTATAGATGTTTGCCCTTCCGCTTTTACACAGTGCAAAAGAAAAACAGTTCAAGCCAGCACTAACTAATAAAACAATAAAGGCAAAATGGGACCGATTAATCTTTATAAAGCATGTTCAAAACTGTAATCCGCACTTGTGTTATTACAACAGCCGTTAATACTCGAAATGCACATAACAAAAAAATACTGTAAACAAACACTGAGACTAACTAAAAACCTTTACCACTCCCCATTCCCAGCACCAATCAAAAAAGCTGTCAAAAGCGTATTACTTGGACGCAATGTACTGTAAAATCCTAGGAAGAAAACACTTCCTGGAATAGGAAAAAATGTATATACATTGCATTTGTACCTCAATATCCGGGAGGTCCCTGCTCAGCATAGCCATTATGACTTGTCCAGGAAAAACTGTTTTTCCAAAGTAACAAAACCGAAAATTGTAAACAGAATAACGTGCAGCCTAACGGGGAATCCTGTGCTTCCTGGCGTTATGAAGTGTGTAAGAGCGGCTACGACATAAAAATACGACTGGTCCATCCGCAGCCCGGGTGTGTGCGCTTGGAGCACTGCAACCATGTGCAAAACTATTGCTAGCATACTGGTCATTTTATCGTACGATCACTGATACAAAATCTGTGGAGATTACAGTAATTCAAACCCCGTCATTTTAACTCAGTATAATTTAAATTGATAACGATTTCTTTTCCGGTTGTTTGACTGCCCTTCTTAGGGTTTTCCCCATCATAGTGGTACATTCCAACAAGAAGCCACTTTGTTAAAAAAGTTCTATATGTACTTTGAACTGCTGTCGTGGGCTGTAATTTAAAGTTATACGGATATCTTGGCGTGTGTTAATTGTTCTCGTAAAATAGAGATTGAAGTGTTATACATTGATTTTACACCAATGAAAATTACACTGCCAGAAAAAAAAGGGAACAGCCCAAAGGGGTGTTTCGCAAAGCAAGATTTCAGTTAGCCAAACGTACAGTATAGGCTGGCAAATAGGAAGAGAGGAAAACTGACATTCTTACTGGACAGTCATTTCCTTACATTTGGCTTGAGTTGTCTGGCTAATGTAGAAATCCTGCCTTGTGGAACTTCCCAAGGCGCAAAGGCACATTAATGTACCAAATGTGCCTAAAATTAGACTACAGGTAGATATACATACAGCTAAGGTACAGAAATTGGCAGACCCTTGAGGGTGACAAGTAATTGCAAGGTACAAACTGGTACTTTTTTTCTGACAGTGCAATAGTGACATTAAATGCACACTTTCTACTTTGGTTTCGTTCCAGTATCACATGGTATAGCTTGACAAAGAGAATCCAGGCTGTTTTGTAATGCGTAAAATGTAACAAAACTTGAAATGCTTTTTTTTTTAATCAATGATGACTAAAACAGTTTTCTTACATGACACCTGAATAGAAGTCATGTGGTGTGGGATGGATTGATGGATTTAAACTTTCGTGTATTACAGCTTTAGAGAAATCCTGCGAATGTCAGATTAATTGGGAGACAAATGTATTTGTGATTCCATACAGTATGTTCGGTTGAAAGTAAAGCTGTGAAAATTTTGCAAACATTTTTGCATACATGATGAGAATTTCTGTCAGTGGTCAGGTATACAATGGTTTATTAGTTAATTGTAGCAATTTATTTAAAGGTAATCAAACCATAATTATTTTTGTTGAAGCAATTATTTTCAGATTTTGTCCATCCATCCATTTTCCAAACCACTTACCTTTCTGGGTTACAGGGGGTCTGGAGCCTATCCCAGAAGCAATGGTGGGGAACAACCCAGGATGGGGGGCCAGCCCATTGCAAGGCACACACACACACACACACACACACACACACACACACACACACGCAATTTTAGTAACTCCAATTAGCCTCAGCATGTCTTTGGACTGTGGGGGGCAAACTGGAGTACCTGGAGAAAACCCCACGATGACATAGGGAGAACATGCAATCTCCACACATATGTAACCCAGGCGGAGACTCAAACCCAGGTCCCACAGGTGAGATGCAACAATGCTAACCACTGCACCACCATGCCACTCCCTTTTCAGATTTTATCATGTATAACAAATAGTCTATTTTTATTTGGCAATAAATTTCCCACTAAATATCTAGATTTTTGATTTGCATTTGCTGTAATAAATACAGTACATCAATCGGTCCATCCAAATTTCCTAACTGTCATCCTGAATGGGGTCACTGTTGCCTATACCTAGAAAGAGACGACATCATGGCTTCTGTAGGGTGACTAACCCAGGGTTAGGTAGTTAGCATTACTGCACATCTTCACAGTGTGGGAGGGAGCTGGAGCCCGTAGGAGAAAGCCACACAACATGGAGAGAACATTCAAACTCCACACATGCAGAACATAGTCATGTTTACTTCCACCGGCTCAGAAGGTCAGCCAGTTCCTATAATACGGATACAAATGCCCTGCACTGTTCCACAGATTCATAGGTAGCTATAGCTGGAAGGTTTGCAATAAAGCGCAAGCACAGACTGAGATGTGGGTATATGTGAAAATTTATGAATGGGCTGAAAAATTGCAGTTGCCTAAGGGATTCAGATGTGGTTGTAGACAATCATCAAGGATTACAGACGTTTGGGCACCATGCCCCTGTCTGATCTGTAGGGCCACACCAGCTTCTTAAATCTGATACTGGCTTTCCCTGTGGAGAGATAGGCTTGACTTGGAAGTATTTCACAAGTCTGAAGATCAAATAGGTGCTATACTTCTGGTTTAGTTTGTATAGTCAGACAGAATAAGGCGACACCAGCGGTTACTTCAGGCTGAGGTGCTTTTGAAGAAGGTTTGGATGCAGCTGATGTTGTTGATAAAAAAAAAAAGATAAAACTAGCGGGATTAGGCTAGTAATATGCTCCATAAAGGCTACGGCATTAGCTGTAGAAAACTTATCACCTAGGGAGATGAAAAGTAGAGAAGCATTGATGATGACGCATGATACCACAGAGATCTCATAAAAAAATCAGTTCGATTTAGGCAGCCCGTTTGCACAAAACCACCTGGGTAAAAATAGCAAGATAAGCAGTAGAATCTGAGTGAGGTTAGAGTGAAGACCAAGAGAGCGTCGTGTTATTAATGCAGCATCAACATGCAGAAATGTGAATATAAATCGCAGAGCTGTGGCACTGATGGGCTCCTGTTTCAAAGAAACACTCAACAAGTCTCTTCAGCATGTACCTCATACAACCTTGGTAATAGAGGTGTTGGTTATTATTTATTGTAATTATCACAAAGGATAGGTGAGCGCTGGAATAATATGAGCCGTGCTCCTCAGAGCCCACTCCACAAATTTCATACGTTCTTGACTAGAAGAAAAAGGAGAACATAGAAAAGAAACCTTGTTCTTATCATTGTGTTGGGTTAACATAGTACATGTTAGCAGCTTGTCATTGATAAGGAAAAGGATCATCCCCCCTAAATACATCACTGAGCGCTTCAGGTGGTCCTTGATGCCTACTGACATTCCTTTGCACAATGTTTCTGGCCCCCATGTCCAACATTCTGTGACTCATGACTGTATCGTTCCATACGCACTAAATTACATTTATTTACATTGTATCCAACATGACATACAATTGAGAAAGCAGGGTCAGATAGTGCCAGGAGCGATTGGGATTGAGGGCCTTGCTGAAGGGCTCAACGGTGATTTCACTCCACCAATGCAATTTGAACTACCAGCACTATATTCTAGTCTACAACACACTTCCATGTAATTTATTCATTATGTGTTTATACTTTGAGTTATTTTTTAATTACCACTGAACGAAAAAAATCCCCCATACTACCACAAGATCCATACATTATTATGTTTATCTTTTTAATTAATTGCATTATTGGTCACTTGAAGCCCTACTTAGTGCTTTCTGTGTAGGCCTGAAATGTCCATTCCCACCATGGTGTGTTTCCCCAGTTTGGATTGTGTTGTTAATTTGTCACAAAACTTATAAACTGATGTATCTTTTTTCACATTCTTCATCTTTTTTATTTATATATGTAATACATTTATTCCCTAAGACATTGGCAAGGGTATGTGAATAGAAGATGGAGCATGCTCCACAAAGAGCAAGTTGATGGAGGCGTAAAAAGAATTTCCCCATGAGGGACAATAAAGGATTGATTATTATTATTATTATTATTATTATTATTATTATTATTATTATTATTATTATGAATGGATGGATGGATTTTCAGAGTGTGAAGTTTTGAGCTGCATTGAGTATTTATATTTTGTTTTGCCTACAAAATTGTCTTTGCATATTATATATACCCTGGCTATATACTATATTATTTTATACACCTAGCTGGGGTAGGGCTCACTTTTGCTGTTTTATTGCAAAATAATCCCTAAAATGATTCCAGTTTCAATATGCCACAGCAGTTCACACCAGATAGATACTAGTGTGACTTGTGTTTTGAGGTGGCTCTATGCATAAGCACAAGTGCAAGGTTAGTGCAGGTTTAATATTTCCTCCAGTTTGTCTCATTGTACATTGACCATATCACCCCTCACATAGCCCTCTGCAAGGCCATTGACCCACAGGGGATGAGCTGCAGCCTCATTGGATGGGAGGAGTGAAAGGAGTCCAAAATGGATATTAATGTAAGAACGACAGTGCCTGTAGTGAATTTATGAGTGAGGCAAAGGGGAAAGGAGACAAGAGAGGAAAGTGGACAAGTTGGATGGACTGCAGGTACCTTAGGACTGCGCCTTGTAAACTCCAAAGAGATATTTTGCTAAAAACCCCGATTAGTGTTTCCCAATCTGGTCCTTGGGGACCCCCAGTTGATCCATGTTTTTGCTCGCTCTGAGTTCCCTGCCAGGCTGGGCATATTTTTGCTACGTGTCCACTTTTTTGTCCACATTTCGCTACCAGGAGCTGGGAGGGAGCAAAAATGTTGACTGTCTGTGGGTCCCTGAGGACTGGATTGGGAAATACTAGCCTAGATGAGTTCTATTAATTTGTCCAACTAATGACTGCAAATGCGGTTTCTTTTGCTTGATGTTGATGTTGAGTTATGCAGTTATGCATTTAGCACATCCGAGTCAGAAAAGCACAACAGCCTTCTATGTGTCAGAATGATCTTGAAATGCAAACAGTGACCAGCCACACACTAACATTCCTATATGTGAAGCAGATGCATAGTAGATTATATATCATTTAGGAGGTTCCTGCAAAAAATAGGATTAAAGCTAATCTCTAAAGACATCTTGTATGATTTTCCGATGACAAATGTTGCAACAACAAACCATTATTTTTGGTCTTTTCAAATTAGATTCAGCTGTCAACCGAAATTGAACTTTGTTTTTAAGAACTAAAGTAAGAAAGATAGTGAAGAAATACTTTATGTTACTAGCATAAATGTTAGTTGTTTTTTTAGTCATATGTAAATTCATACTTTGATAGCAGATATCTTGCGATTAGGTACTGACACTGTGTAATGATAAACAGTCCATTTTCAATAATA